TTTTTTTGTTTGTTCCCTAAATATAAAAAAAATTACTGAGCACATTTTAACAACATTTAAACATTTCCAACTGATTACCATTTGATATTTAACCTGTTCAAAATGTCCACCATAGGTCGTTCAAAATGTCCACCATAGGTTTTGACCTTTTCAAACACAAAATTGGCTAAAATTCACCTATTAGGCTAAATGTAGTAGCTGAGAATCATTCACAATTGCAATGCATGTTATTAGATCACGTGACATTGCATGAGATGTCCATGTTTGACAAAAACAGGTATAACTTTGTCAGCTGGGCAGCTGTGGCTGAGTGGTTTGCTGGTGGTAGTCAGAGGGTCCGGTGGCAATGGTGAATGTCTGACTTTTGTCAGTGTGCCCCAGGGCAGCTGTGGCTATTATCGCCATCAGTGTGTATGAATGGGTGAATGACTGATTACAGTGTGAAGCGCTTTGGAGTTTTAATAAAGTGATGTACAACTTGTGCAAGTCATTCACCATTTCACAACATACGAGGTTCGTAGTTTTTTTTTTTTCTGAATGGGTGATACACATTCAATCAAGGAATATAGGCTTTTTATTGCCATAAAGCTTGTCCAAAAGGATTAAAAGTGTTGGCTGACGATACTGAACCTCAGATCAAGTCAAAACTCAAATTCTTTGATCAAAAAAATGCTCATGTATGAATTGGTTTCAGCGTGACCAAGCGTTTAAAATAAACACATGCACACAAAAATAAAATAAAATAAAGCCACAAGCGAAACAAGCAAGGAGCCATTAAAGCAACTCAACCCCATCTGAAGAATTTCACAGCACTTTAAAGACCCAGCATCAGCACGCTCGCTGCTCGTTGCAAGAGTCTTCGGAATGAGTATGAAACGCTGCGTGTCACGATACAGTCGGAGCTTAACGCGCCCTGAAGCCTGTTGGGTTTGTAATTTGTCGATAAACAGCTTATCCACACCAGTCTTTGACGCGTCACAATGGTTCTGACAAAAGGCAGTGGGCATAATTCAGATAAAACACATGTATTTCATCTTTCAGAACACTGTTTATGGCAAAATGCTCAAACAAAATGTGAATTAGAGCCGGTGCATTGCAAATAACTCTCCTGGATTATTAAACGAACAAGTGTTTTATATTCACCCCGCTTCAGTCTCGTGTGATCATTATATATTCAAGCACAGAGAATGGCTGCATCTTTCATGTCATGCTTTGACGCCTTATCATAGATGTTTTGCGATGCGGTTAACGCGAACAAGAAAAGAAATGGGCAACTTCTTCTAATAAATCAGAGGGTTTTCACTCTTGAAACGATGCAAAAAAGAGAGCACAAACACTGAGTTTTTAAATCTACTTTTCTTTTCTTTTCTTTTCTTTTGGCTTTGGGGTGAGTCTACTCAACCTTGTGTAAAAAATATATATCTGCCCCTATATAAGTTACAACTCTCAGTTACAAGTCTGGGAATAAAGTAGGGCAACTGCTGATCATAAATAGATATTTAAGTCATAAAATTGTAGTCTGTTCCTCGATTCATGCAGGGTTTTTTTCACTTTTTATGATTTTCTTTTTTGGTGATAAAAATGTTTCACATCAGCAACAAATTGAATTCATAAATAGTTTAAAGCATCTCATTCTCCCCCTGAAATGATAAAAGTTGCATTCAGTTGATCACGCCATCTCCTGGTGGAAGAGACAAGTACAGCTTCTCTTCACCAGCGGGGCCCAAGTCTGATTCAAAGGGAGTCCAGCCCCTCTTTTACCCTCCTGTGAAACAAAAATTCCGCATGGTTTTCCTCTATTTTTCCCCCAGATATTTCCTCCTTTTGAGTAAAAAACAAAAATAAAAACATACAACAACTCTCAAACTGCTCCTGATCCTCTATCAGACCCGGAGAGGCCCGTGAAGCAATCACTTTCCCAGATTACTTGTATTTAATACACAATGCATCATAAAACAAATCCCTCATCCTGACAGGAAGAAAATAGAATAGCTCATTCGACTTGAGCTTTCCCAATTTATGGCTAAATTAAAAAGGCTTCCAACAATGGACAAGTCGAGCAGAGGCAGGAAATCAATGACCAGGGYGGAGCAGGGTGGGCAGGAGGGGGTTTCTCCCGTGGCTTTCAAGGAGCGCAGCATGATGGGAATGGGTGGCAGGGTCCTGCCTTATTTACACATGATTTTTCCTGTCTTTCCTGTACATTTGCTCTGCGATTCCACGAAAAACAATGGGCATTATCTGGGATGGAAGGTCAATGTCACAGAGTGAGGAGTTATCCATCATCATCATCATCATCATCATCATCATCTGCTCTCATCAGCCAAAAGCAAACCCCACTCACCCACCCCACCCTCTCTGTACTCCCAGGTTTTAAGAGCTGCCTGATAAACTCCTCTCATATCAGGGATAGTTCAGTTTAAAACTCTTGGATTTCAGTAAAAAACACTAAGCAAATAAAATGTCTCTTTTTTTTTCTCCCAAGGAAAAAATTGTCTTTGCTTTGACATTTATTTTATGAACAGAAAATTGTGAATTATGGAGGAAGATCTCTCTCTATTTCAAATCGTTAAATGTTGGAAAATAGGCCAAAGCCTCATATTGTTTGGATTTTTTTAATAGTTTTTAAAC